GAGAGAGAGAGAGAGAGAGAGAGAGAGAGAGAGAGAGAGAGAGAGAGAGAGAGAGAGAGAGAGAGAGATTTCTGACCCGAATGGCGACCCTCGCGTAGACATGTGTTCTGTGGTCATTCAAAGTTCATCACTGTCTGACATATGGACTTTTCAGTCAAAAATTTCTCCACCTTGATTTCGTTAGAGTATGAAATTATTTTGTACATAATTGGCAAAATTGTACCCTTGTGATGACTCGTCGACACCTGCAGAACCAGTTTTTCTGTTGTGAGTCAATCTCTTGGAGTTGAGGTTACCATAAAGCACTGGCACCTTAGAACAGCCTAACATCGTACCAACTGGCCGTGAGTAAAATTCATCGAAAGCAAAAATGTTCATTGGGTTTTATTTGACAGTGACGGCGTGCACAGTGCGTCTTTCAGTTTTAGAAGCTTGGCGAGTTCATGCCGCAGCCATCGGCCACCAAACGTACTGATGGCTTAAGGTTTGCCCCTTCAAAAGGAAGATTAAAATCAGGGATTGCCTGGATACATCCAAATGTGGACGAAAAACAAGCACCTTTAACTGGATGGCACATAAAAGTGTCACCTTTTTCCACCTTCCCTACCCCACTTGACCCCCTATGCTATTCCTGCAGCTCCCTTTGTCTTGCACTCTTTAACACTCTAGCATGGGTGTTCCGATCTATAGAAGTTACTTCGGTTCTTGAAAGTTCTTGGCTTTTATGAAGTTTTATCTGCCTTCTCCTCCCCCTTCTCTGCGTCCATTTTGATGCCCCTCAATTGTTAAATGCAGTCCCAACATTCTGATATCTCTTCCACAATGATGCCCGGTATTAGATGAAGTCTTTGTAGCTCTTTCTTCCCAGATTTCATTCCAAAACCGCATCTTGAGTGTCGAACGGCATGTCTTGTGCAGTCAGGCCTTTGTCAAACCATTGTTGCAGTAGGGAGTGGGGTGCCATTGTGCACAATCACAGAATTGTAGAACGGCTGATGAGACAGCTTCCCCAAAGACGCGGGCTTGCTGTCATTTGACTCATTTCCTAAGAGTGGAACTCAGACTCAGTCCCAAAGACAGGAGCTTGGAACGAGTCCCAAAGACTGGGCACTGCACTGCATCCCAAAGATTGGGATTACGGAGCTGGGGGACTGAGCCCCAAATCCTTGGACTTTAGGCTCCCCTACAGGGCTGATGATGCAGATTCCCTAAAGTCCTGGGCTTGCTTTGAGTCATGAAGAGCGGGACTTGGACTGAGTCCTGTGACTTGGAATGACACCCAAGGAATGGGTCGTGGACTTGAGTCCCAAAAGATTGGGACTTCGAGCTTGGAGGACGGAGTGCCAAAGACTGGAACTTTAGGCTCCTGATCAGGGCCAATGAGGCAGATCCCCAAAAGACCGCCTTCATCGACCCGCCAATAACTCTATGATTCAGTTTCTGTTACTGCGTTTCATTTTTGGTCAAGCTCGCCACTCTCGTGAGCGCACATACTAGGGCTCGAAGAGCAGGAACCAGACCACGCTCTGCTCTCCTCTCCTCTCCTCTCCTCTCCTCTCCTGATAGATTTTCAAAAGACTATCAAAACTCCACTCCTCTCCTCTCCTCTCCTCTCCTCTCCTCTCTCCTC